CCCCCCCCCCCCCCCCCCCCTATTCTCAATCCTCTATCTCCTACCCCGTGTGTTCGTGCGCGATCGCCGCCTGACCCCGAGAGAAGGGTGTCGCCGCGATGGTGCGAACTTTCCCGTCGATCCTGGGGCTTAGCCCGGAAAAGAACATCGAGCCCAAGCTGACCTGGCTGAGGGAGAACCTCGGGCTTACCGAGGAGCTGGTGCTAATTCTTGTCAAGGTGTGGCGCGGGTATGGCATTGTGTGATGCCTTCTTTTTTTTTCTTGACTGGCGGGGCGTGTGGAGAGAAGCTGGATGCAAGACAGTCAGCCGCACCTGTCCGCTGCGAGCTTGCTGCCAAAACATCAAAGTATGCAGCGAGCTGGAGGTTGCACGGGAAGCGTCATTGGACTCTGCCCTTTCCATGCCATGCCGTGCCGTTGCCGTACTGTGTCCTTCCTCCCTCGTGTGGTTACCACGGACCACCTCTCCGCTGGGGCTGGCGCTGCTGCTGCTGCTGCTGTTGCTGCTGCTGCTGTTGCTGCTGTTGTTGTTGCTGCTTTTAATTTGATGGTGCTTTCTTTCCCACAGCTTCTTTACCCCCCCCTTTTTTGTCTGTCAACAGAAGCGACCTCTTGACTATGGCTATCCTTTGGCCGCTGTCTCTTCGCCCCCCGTGCTTCTATGGACAGACGTGCCCCCAGCTCTTCGGCTGCTCAGCCAAGGCCAACTTGGGACCAACGTTAGACTTCTTTCGGGAACGGCTCGGTGGGTCCCGCGAGGAGATCAGGGAGCTAGTCCTGTCGAACCCGACCCTCCTCAGGCAAGATGGGGTTTGGAATTAAGAGTCTCCCCCGGTTGTTGGTAGTGTTGGTGAAATCGGCGCGTGCGGGGGGATTACATATACAACACGTTTCAGTGCTGTTTTTCCTTGGAAAACGTTTGGCGGTTTTGTCCCTCGCAAGAAAGCGGGTCCCTGTTTAACCCCGAATTTCGGAGTTTTTTGGGGTTCATGGCAAGAGCCAAAGGGCTGCTTATTGATGTTTTGTTGCTGCTACTGCTGCTGCTGCTGCTGCTGCTGCTGCTGCTTCTGTTATGTTGTTGTAGGCTATCATTGTCGCGGCTCAGCCGTAGAAACCATCTACTCCGGAGAATGTGATGTCATTACAAGTGGTCCTCGGCATCCTTCTCCTCTCAAAAGCCGTTCAAAACCATGCAACGCTCATGAAGAAATTAGTCTCAGCACCTGTTTCAACAGATTATCAGGAAACAACCCCAAAGCAACTCGCGACCAAGCGCGCAATGCATCCCCCAACTTCCGCCCCTGCCATTGAAGAAGACCAGTGCATCCGTGACAGAATGCCGCTTGCCACCCACTGCAACCGAACACCAAAAAAGCTCCGACCGAAATCTGAAATTCTCATCCCCCTTCCCTCCCCCTCCCTCCCCGAAATATTTCCTGGCCCCCTCCACCCCCCCCAAAAAAACACCCCAGATACAGCCTCAAGAAGCGCATGATGCCGCGAGCCATGGCGATCGAGAAATCCGGGCTAGGTCGCCTAGTTTTCCGGGAGCACGTGAAACCGATCGCGGCTTACACGGACCCGGCTTTCGAGGCGTGGCTGGACTCTCTGGTGCTGGTGAGGGGGATGCCGCCGCGAAGCCAAGCAAAAGCCGGGGCTACCGCTGGTGGTGGTGGGGGGGTTCCGACGACCGGGGGGCACCGCCATCCCGAGTCCAGAGGGAGGGGGTGAGAAAAGGCGACGGCCAACAAGGGCGAAAGCAATGCTGTTATTGCTAGCTGCAGAGCCTCGGTCTGGCGTTGGCGTTTTTTTTTGTCGTTTCAATGACCCATGTGCGAGAGAAGGAGTATTTTCCATGCGGGACGCATTAAGCGTAAGAAGAACCGCTTTATTCAGGGCGAAACGTTTGTCGGGGTAGTAGGTGGTGTCGTGAAGAAAAGGGCGCCTCTCTGTTGATTCTTCCGCCGGTCGGTCGCTGTTTTTTCCTTCTGTTCCTGGTTACGAAAACCTTTGCCGGGGGGAAGTGACTCCTGTTTGATGAAGGAAAGTCGCCAGCTGATTGCTATCACGCGGGGTAGACTGCTGTGCCATTAGGTCATCTTCGAAGGCATCATCTAGTCCGATCTCCCGAGCTTTTTCCCGAACTCCTTCGTGTCTGCATCCGAATGAAGAGTTGTCTGAAGCGTTCCTGGACGTTGCCTTTTGCGTGCGGCTTCACACACGAACATATTTATGCATGATGATCGGTCAGATCGTTTGTGTAGATTCATCCCCAGCATTTATTGTTCCGCTACACTGTGTTGTTGCTGCTGGTGGTGGCGGTGCCTGTGGTTTCAATGCATTCCATTTTTCGTGCCAAGCTGTATCAACGAGGCTGTGTTTTTGTTCTTGGGCACTTTTTTTCTTTTTGCAAGGATTTTTTTATTCCCCCACCAAGCCGTTGTAAAACAAGCCAATTCACTTCGTGAGCTCGGCAACCAGGTCATCGTTTTTTTTTCATTTTTTTTTGACGGTCCGTAACCATAATGGTGGTCGAGTAAATCGTGTTGTGCGGGGTGTAGAACCCTCACTCCGCGCAAGGGGGATGATCGCACCACGTTGTGTTAAATTGGTCAAGCACCCTCGAGGCAGTTACACAGTGCTTACGACTGTCTCTGGAAGTGAAATCACCAGACAATAAATTGAGTAATACGCAGCTGGCATCCGTACGCAAGGAAGTAAGCACAAGATGCCGAACACCCTTAGCAGGATGCAGCGCACCCTTCATGCGACTCGCCGAATATCTCACGGCGCTTCGCGCTTGGTGATGTGAGAGCCTGGTCCGGTGAGAACCCGGCGTGCTCCGTCCCGGCTTTGTAGGGATGCGAGGTCAATGGTCTAACGACTACGGCATGCACGACTATGAGTACACCCCCCACCCCACCCCCCTCGGTGTTTGCCTTGGCAACGACGTTGTAAAACAAGCCAATTTACTTCGTGAACTCGGCACCCAGGTTATCGGGGTTTTTTTTGCCTCTGTTTTTTTTTGGCGGTAACCATAATGGTGGTCGAGTAGATCATATTGTGCGGGGTGGCGAACCGTCACTCCGCGCAAGGGGGATGATCACACCACGTTGTATTAAAATGGTCAAGCACCCTCGAGGCAGTTACACAGTGCTTACAACTGTCTCTGGAAGTGAAAGCACCAGAAAATAAATTAAGTCATACGCAGCTGTCATCCGTACGCAAGGAAGTAAGCACAAGATGCCGAACACCCTTAGCAGGATGCAGCGCACCCTTCATGCGACTCGCCGAATATCTCACGGCGCTTCGCGCTTGGTGATGTGAGAGCCTGGTCCGGTGAGAACCCGGCGTGCTCCGTCCCGGCTTTCGAGGTCAATGGTCTAACGACTACGGCATGCACGGCTATGAGAACACCCCCCACCTCGCTTGTTTCGAGCCGATTTTTGCTATACTCCGGGGATACGTCCTATTTCAGAGCATGGCTAAGGAGAATGGATGCTTCTGTACACACGGTCTCCACTTGACACCGGAAAAAAATGTAGGTGTAGAGAGGGCGTCGGTGCGCTTTTTTACACACGGTGCGGGCTGAACTGAAGTGCTAAAGGTTGCGTACCGGACACGAACAACTTAGAAGACGGGAATCTTGAAGAAGCAGGTGCATCCACAAGTCGCCAAGGAAGTAAGACAAGCGATGGGAAAGGATGAAGAAAGTAGAGTTAATTCGTTGCTTGTGGTCATGACCGAGCATCACAAGTGAATGTGCAACGTAGTTTGATAGCAATCACTGGCTTACGGTCTGCAAAGATTTCGTAGACAAGAACAGTTCTTCCCTGATGGTTTTCCTGAGCTCGATTGCTTGGTGTAGTCTTTCCCGCGAATGTCAGACCTTGCTGAAAAGAGGTCCTCACTGAAAAAAGGATAATAGGGTGATGACCACGCTCTACATATACGTTCAATGTGATCTGACAACGGCAGGCAGCAGGAGCGGTGGGTCTACAACCAAATGGAAAAATATGGTTTAAAAAAATAACGGGAAAAAGGTGCCCGTGGTTTTCTGATTCATTGTTAAAGGAAATTTCCTTTGGTCGAAAATTCCATGGTCGACAGATGACGTCAGCCACGGTCATGACGTCACCTCCTGTTGTACAATGCAGTTGGAGTTCGTACTCGAGAACCACCCCCCCCTAGCTTTACGCGAGGCAGGGGTTCTTGATTCCTTAAATAGCGCCATGCTTCAAACGAAGTGTAGCCTAGATGAGGGAGGGGCACTACTACTGCACAATAATATTAGGGAAATGGACACAAGTTTTTTTTTTTTTTTCTCCCATCATTGGACTCTGTCGTCTGCCCCTCTGGCCCCTATCCTCCACTTCTACTAGCTAGACGACCCAACCGGGGTCACATAGGAGGGGGGGGTTGGACCCCCTCCTGCGGTTCATGCCTGAGGTATTTTTATCGCGAGAAGGGTACAGCAATCCCTTCCCTCGCGACTTACGAAGTCGATTATGGTTTACTAGGCCGTTTTAAACGTTTCCAAAGATTCCAAATTTTTTCCAAAGCTCCAAATATTTGGAACCTGTACGTAGGCGTTCTTCCAAAAAATTCAAAAAAATTTGGAACGAAGTCGGGCCCGAAAATTTGGCGCCAGTAGCTTCCAAAATTTGGAAGCCTTTTTGGAGCACTTTCCAAATCACCTAACAAACGAGCTTTGCAGCGCGTCGCTTTCATCCTAGATGTGGAAAAGAGGGTTTCGTACTCGACAGACGTTGGGGAGTTTCAACCTTTCTTTATGAAGGTGTTCTCCACATAACCCCCCCCCCCTTTTCGAGGCTTCTTCTTGTTTACTAGGCAAGAGAAGTCTTCTTGGGGTAACCGAAACCCGACCGGCTGGCGGCGAGTAGAATAAAACCCCCTTTTTTTCCAACAATCTTCTGAGCGTGTGTGCGGGTGCACCATTTCCGCCACGCACTGTCAAAAGTTTCGAGTGCGATAGACAATGCATCGTTTCTTGGCCCACCCACCGTTTTCCTTTTTTTTTTCCGGAAGAAAATTAGGTGAGCAGCGAGCGTTGTACCCGTGTCTCTTGCAACCAAAAGCAGACAACTGACATCTCTTCGCCGACGCCATTGTGGAAAAGAGTTTTCGTCCTCGACAGACGTTGGGGAGTTTCAACCTTTATGAAGGTGTTCTCCACATAGACCAGGATTTATTTACTGAGAAAAACACTTTCTCTGCCGGGACTCGAACCCATGACCTGGCCCGTAGCAGGCTGCGAGGCTACTCACTAGACCACCGGGGCGACCGTATACCCACGCCATTCTCGGACAAAAGTGGGCACTCGAAAATCCAGCGTGCGCGCACTCCATATGCGGCCCCCACACGACTCAAAACCCCATTCTGACACCTGGGCGACACAGACAGCCAGGGACCATGCACAGCACGGGCATCGAGGTTTTCCCACTTTCAGGCACACCTTCGGCCCTGATACCGCCGACGCGCGCAAGGCCTCACTCACCAGAGTGCCCACTTCTGTCCGATATCGCAGTGGGTAATATACCCACCGGCGTCAACTATTTTTTCATGTACGTACCCACTTCTTCTGTCTCTATTTTGACCCACTTTTTTTGTCCGAATTGTACCCACATTTATCCACTTACTTACGGACGGCGGAAATCGAGCGGAAATCGACCTCCACGTCACCGCGCGGCAGAACATCGAATAGCCTCGGAGCGTCTCAGAACCTCCCAACACCGTATCCATGGCATCTTTCGTATCCATGACTGCCGACTGCGGACCGACCGCGGAGGAACATGTCAGACGCATGCCAGGCCCCTTGGGTACCGGCACGGGAGGATACCAGGCACGACGGGAAGATGCCAGCGGCAAGACCGGCAAGCAGCGCACTAACGGCAAACGCCACAAACAAATGCGTTACACACAACGGACAACAAAACCAACGGGTCGCGCATACAGAACAAAAGACGCGCAAGCAACAACACACACACACAAAAACACCAACCACCACTACGACGAGTGCACACCGACTTGTCACGGCAGCAGTAGCACGTTGATGCAGTTTGCAACGTAACGTCATATTAATAGGATATTCATATGCACAACATTCATACTGCTGTATATACGACGTGAAAATCCGGCTTGATATCCCCTAAAAACCTAACCGAACAAGAGACCGAAAAGGATACCGTTCGCTACGCTACGTTCGTTCGCTGCTGCGTTATGGATGGCGGGATAAGGAAGAAATAGGCCGCACATTGCGTACTCCGGAGTACCATCAGAGTTGGCATACACATAGTTTCATACTTTGCATGCATACGAAGAACTTCCAAGCACAAGCTAGTAGTTTAGGTGCAGGAGGAATCGAATGTGGGCCTATACTGCTGTAGGCCGCATATTCCCATATTGGCATACCGCACAACAAATATGCGTGTTGTTGCTGTATGCGCGTCTTTTTGTTCTGTATGCGCGACCCGTTGGTTTTGTTGTCCGTTGTGTGTAACGCATTTGTTTGTGGCGTTTGCCGCGTTAGTGCGCTGCTTGCCGGTCTTGCCGCTGGCATCTTCCCGTCGTGCCTGGTATCCTCCCGTGCCGGTACCCAAGGGGCCTGGCATGCGTCTGACATGTTCCTCCGCGGTCGGTCCGCAGTCGGCAGTCATGGATACGAAAGATGCCATGGATACGGTGTTGGGAGGTTCTGAGACGCTCCGAGGCTATTCGATGTTCTGCCGCGCGGTGACGTGGAGGTCGATTTCCGCTCGATTTCCGCCGTCCGTAAGTGGACAAATGTGGGTACAATTCGGACAAAAAAGTGGGTCAAAATGGAGACATTAGTGGGTACGTACATGAAAAAATAGTTAACGCCGGTGGGTATATATACCCACTGCGATATCGGACAGAAGTGGGCACTCTGGTGAGTGAGGCCTTGCGCGCGTCGGCGGTATCAGGGCCGAAGGTGTGCCTGAAAGTGGGAAAACCTCGATGCCCGTGCTGTGCATGGTCCCTGGCTGTCTGTGTCGCCCAGGTGTCAGAATGGGGTTTTGAGTCGTTTGGGGGCCGCATATGGAGTGCGCGCGCGCTGGATTTTCGAGTACCCATTTTTTTCCGAGAATGGTACCCACTTGTGTCCATTTCCCATAAAATTTAGTCTGAAAATAACCAGCTCGACTCTGAACCAAGCTGAGGAAATTCTGTTTGACGTTACATATTATTGTCGTGATTTTCCTCGACCGCGTCCACTCCTCCCTCTCGTACCATCCGGGGGCGTGCGAGAAAGTATTTTCTTTGTTAATGTCAACCAACACTGAAACACAACAATAAACACAGAATCAACCACGCAAGTCTATCGTTTGATGATGCTCTCCGTCATAGGCAGCAGCAGCAGCAGCACTTCTCCCACGCGCACCTACAACGGACGACACGCGCACCTACCACTAACGCAGGGAACCTCTTTCTCAGTGGATGTTACCACCACGAGGCCACTCCAAAACGCGGCAAATCAAGACGCCGAACACTCCCACAAACACGTCGCAAGCCACTGAGCAACACCTCTCCGACCACGCGAAAGAGGAGGTCATCTCACGTCATTCGTCCCACATTCTGCCACACCGCCTGCTGCACACCGCAACTTACCGTTTAGTTTTGCCGCACCGTTAATGAGTAAGGCGGGTTCGAACATGCATAGTCTACAAAGAAGACTAGCAACCGGTACGCCCAATGAAGAATCTCACCCTAAAAAAGACGATAGACCAAAAACGAACCTCGTGCCAAAAAAATAGGCTCTACTGTGCCACAGAACGGGACACACACATGTGTCCGAGGGCTCTTTTCTCGAACGGTCGGTGCGATACCTGTTCTCTTCTTTATCATTTTGTTTTCTTTTTCCGAGTGGTTCGTACCCCCTTTTTTTTTTTTCTCTCGCGGCGTCGTATGTGCCGGGTTTTGAGACCATGGGCTCCCCATTTTTAGTGGACTATAGAGCTAATGTGAGAAACAACAACATACGAATGTGTCCAGAGAAACATGTCAATTTTTGCCCAGCCTGCGTTTGCTGAGGGCGGGGCAAATAAATGTGCGTATCATGTATGAAAAAAACGTTCGGCACGGCCTTAATAACCAGAACCTGGCGCGCCTCCCACTACTTACTGGACACACCATCAACCTACATCCCCCGCCGCGCCGCTTCTGACCAGCAAGCGACCTCCCCTTGTCTGAGGTGCCGGGCAACATGGTGTATGCCTTCGGTGCCCTCCTTCGTCTGCAGGTAAATGTAGACATGCCTGCCCGCCGTTCTAAAGACCCAAACCCCACTCCTTGCAAGTGCGGGGTCACCCGTCGTCGCGAACACTCTCAGCCTTGATCGTACTTTCGCCTACTTCATGGTACATGCATTAACCTTACCCCACAAGCACCATCACACAAAACACATCTCATGCATGCGCGCCTGCCACAAGGCATCCTCACGCCTCGTTGTCGGGTCATTGTTCAGCGGCAAGCATCCATTCATCCACCACGCTAAGCACCCTCTCAATGAACCCCATCAAGCCCGCACCCGTGCATCCATTGCCCCAGCGGTGAAAAGCTCACACACAGTACTTTCGCCTTCGATCGACTCACTGGCACCCGGCACCGCTCCATGACTACCCTCCCTTGTGCGTAAATTTACTTATCTTCCCACGATTCGTCGGCGCCTTCTCCTCCTCCCCTAGCCTCCCACCCGTGAGATAGCTGGAAGGAAAAACTCTACTCGCTCCCTCAGAGTTTGTTGCCTATGCGGCCGGGGGGGGGCGCGCAGAAGTCTTGTTCCAACCACTGCTGTGGCAGCTGTTGTACAAACCAAAAGAATCACACAGATGCCTGCGTACTTCACAACAAGCAAAAAATGATCACGTCGTACTTTCAAACCGAGATCGTGCTTTTGGGTAACACTACAAGGACCTCCAACCCCAAGTGGTGAAACCATATTTGAAAAAAAAACATAAATAAATCACACACCATCAACCTACAACAACAAACCTGTGCATATAAACCTGCGTAACTACACACCCCGCGAATCCATCCACCTCCTACGACGTGAATTTTTTCGTCTTGAACGAAACGCTAATGAGAGCACGCAACGCACCGAAAAACAGAAACACCACCTGCTGTACCAAACAAATAAATAAAAACACCATCACACGTGCCCGACAGTGACCCACTGGAGCAAAAAAGTAAAAAACTCGTAGTGTTGTCTGCGGTGGGTAACGAAACCAGACTCGACTAGATCAAAAGGCCAAAAGCGTTAGTCGCCAACTCAACAAAACTCCGTTACTCCCTGACACCCCCCCTAGAGTTCCCACTTGTATTGGACAACTGCTTTATCAACGACGGGAGGGGTGTGTGTGTGGTGGCAGGACGTATCCAAGCGCACCCAGACCAACAATATTCAGCACATCATGGACGGTTTGAAGCACAACAGGTCGAACATACTACTACTAGCAAAGGCGTAACTCTGACATTTCATACACGCACGCACCAGTGCCGGTGGCCCCGGTGGTCTTGTGGTATCTTCGTAAACCGATAGTCGCAGAGGTCGTGGGTTCGAATCCCTACGGGATGAAAATTTTACGAATTGTGCGGGTGAACGCGAAATATAGCTGAAATGCTCTCGTGAGTGACAACCTTCGACGTTAGCACCGTAAACGAGGGAAAGGGACGGCTGGACCCTTCTCGCGATAAACAAAAATCAGCACGCACCGCAGGCGGAAGGTGGGGCATGAAAAGAAATAAAAAGAAGAAAAAAGCCCTGGTGTTTACCCCTTCCTGTGTGACCCTGGATGGTTGTAGTACGAAAAAATACACTGAAAAGTGTAGCAATCTACAGACGCTGAAAAGTGTAGTACACGTCTCACCACGAAAAATGGGGGGACTGTCGCCATAGTAAATAGGACGAAAACACAACACACAACACACGCAAGCACCGGGGCTCCGTCTCGCAGACGGCGTCATCACAATATGGGGGACTATCCAAAGTTTAATGACACGCGCAATAAGCCAAGATCTGCTCACGATCAATCGACAATCCGACGTCGGTGATGCTGCAACTTAACGCCGTTGTGCGATTCAACAACCAATATACCCCGGGCTCCCCGGACGACAAACGTTAGAGCCCAGTACTTAACCAGACTACTCAAGACTAAACTAAAACCACGGATCGCAATTGGCAAAGCTTAACGCCTGAGGCAAGAGGCATGCGTTTCCCGCAAGACAGATAGATGTGTTTCGAATACAAGCCGAAAGAACAAAAATACACGCCGAGAACCACTATGAGCACGACGACAAATGGAAACCTGATAGGATGTTTGTCCAACACCAAAATAAAACGGTCCATGCAAAGACATACATACTGTATGGCACGCACAAGAACAGAAAATCTAGAGAACCACCTGAGGGGCGGTCACAAACGCAGGAAAGCAAAGTAAACGGTGTGAACAACACGGAGAGATTAGCACATTTTTGTGACATGGAAACTACCTCAGCCAAAGCAAAAGAATTCCAACACCAGCGACCGCGGGATCACCGAACATCAAAAAGAAAAAAATATTGAAAGATAGACTAGATCATAGAAAATAGCATAAACACCGACGAGTTGTGAAATCGCGAAAAAAAACGTTGTACGAAACAACCTTTGGGAAACAACACCGGGATTCCTGGGGGTGCGCACGTACACCATCAAAAACGTCAACAAGGGCAGCCAGTTTGTTCTTTCAACGGGCGACGTGGTGATTCCAAGCCGTCTTCAATGCACCAAAAACCGGCGCAAAAAACGCCACCACCTCACCCGTAGAACAAAGGGCATGCACACCCACCACAACAACACCACAAGCACTGTCCCCGAAAACAAACCACGCCACAGCACTTCACCACACGACTGAGTCGCACAAACAAACAAAGCGTGACCCCCCCCCCCCCCCCCCCCCCCCCCCCCCCCCCCCCCCCCCCCCCCCCCCCCCCCNGCTACTCATGTGAACTTCCTTACCCGAAACTTGTGCGCCTATTGACAAGGACCAACACTGTCTTTCAAGCACCAATACTGTCTTCCAAGTACCAATATTGTCTTTCCAAGCACCAATACTGTCTAACGAGCACCAATACCGTTCACCGTGGCTGGGGCCGTAAGATCCGATTCCATTGGATATCCCCATCCATCCAGGAAGTGATGCCACGAAACTTACAGCAAGCCGAAGCCGTTGACCGTATCGACCTCGAGATCGATATTCACACAGGCCCCGTCGCCGTCGGCGACGCTGCCGCCATCACCGGAATCGCCGTGCAGCAAAAGCACGTCCAACGGCATGCCCACCCATCCGTCGACTGGGAAGTCCTCCTCCTGCTCCTGCTGGTGGTGGTGGGTCCGTTCTTGCACGACAGTGGGGTCTGCGGCGGCGCCAAATCTCCCGAACCTCTGAAACTCATGTTGCTGGTACTGACCGTCGAGTTGGTGTTGCAGGCGCTGCTGGTGCTGGTGCTGGTGCTGCTGGTGCTGGTGCTGGTGCTGGTGCTGGTGCTGGTGCTGGTGCTGGTGCTGCTGTTCAAGCAGCTCAAACTGCCCCGCACCTATCATGTCGTCGTGGATGCTGTTGTCGTTGCCCATGGCCATCGCGCCAAAGTCAAACTGAGGCTGCCGACAGCTTTCATCATACGCGAAGCGATTCCCAGGGTCACCATCGCTGCCTTGCAACTCGTCCAGGAAGCGCGCAGATGGACAGAAGGCCACGCTGTTGAGCTTGATGTTACTGCCGTCGAAACCCCTGCCGTGGTTTAGATCAGGCGCCACCGGCATCGGCATCGGCGCCGCACCGACGGGGTCACAGTTGTTGCCGTTTAACCTGTCGGAGCGGGAGAGTCAAAAGGAAGGCGGAGGCCGGGAAGGGAGACAAACGAGGGGGGACAGCATGACAACACACCACGCACGGGCGAGCGATGAGGGGAGGGTATGAGGAACACAGTGAAGATGATAGCTTTCGCGTTCAACGACTGACGAGCCGGTTTATACGTTTACCGCGAGAAAGTACCAAGTGTCGCTTACCAGACAATCTCCAAACAAGAGTGATCGGCGGGCTACCCCATTCCCGCAACTCTGTCTCTCCTCCCGTTTATGGCTGGTGAGTGCCACGACTGTCTTGATATTACGATTGGTGTTCAAGGGAAGGCGTTACACCTCGGAGCAGTGCTCCCAAGTGCACTACTGTCCCAAAATACTGCTTTAAGGAACGCAGAAGGAGTTTCCGGCTACAGCACACAACCGAACTGTAGGTGTCTCCAGAACTACCCATAGCGAAGCCTTCTCATCCGGAAGTTATTGCAGGCAGCTGCGCATTTGCCCAGTTGCTTCATGTCAGCGCTGACTAGTCATCCAGTGGTCATCGTGCTTCTCAACACGTTACCTCTTTGTCTGGTAGCAACTACCTGGGTTTGCACAGTGTCTGCGGTCGTTCACTGAAGGCAATAGTTGCACCGCTTTTTCATGCATAGTTTCCTGGTGAAAACCGACGCAATTATTGACATGGTTATCTGCCGACGAATCATTTCACCGTTTGTCGATCACCGTTACAAAGTTACTACCAACCCCTGCACTCGTACAGGGAGGCAAATTCTCATTTCTCACCAACCAGGAGCACAAGCTGCTGCACCAGCGGAGTTACTCCAGTTCGGAAACAATGACTGGCCCGACGAGCCGCCGCTTACGCGGACGCCACCGCCGCTGTTATCACCGGCTATTACGTTGTTGGTGTCGCTCGTGTCGCCGTACGCCTGAGTACAAGCAGCGACGAGAGGCAGCCCCATGGACTTTCCCCCCGTGCCGCCGCCGTTCGGGGGTCCCGCAGGCTTTGCTGCCGCGGCCGTTCGCTGTTGCTCCTCGCTGTGCGACACCAGGAGCAGCCGTCGTGGCCCCGACGCTTCGGCAGAACCCGCCGCGTGCTGCTGCTCCCGTAACTGGTGGCGGCGGAGATGGTGTAGGTCTTGCTTCTGCTGCGGCTCGTGCTTCGGCGCGCTGTACATGTAGGCGCCTGCGGCGACCCCAGCTCTTCCCGCCGCACGATCATACTGACTGGGGTAGGGCTGTAGTTGCGGTTGAAAATAGCACCGCCGATAGGCCGCGGGGGGCGAGAAACGAATCGTGGAGCGCGCGCAAAAAAAATAACAAAAGTCATGCGAACAGGATTTAGCGGGGTGGTGATTGTGTCACGGCAAGCTTGACCGCTGTGGAACTCGGAAGCTGCGCAAAGAGCATGCGGTACGGTGAACGGGAGGCCTCGGACTGTGCTCCACGGGAATCGGAATGGGGGGGAAGCGGAAGAGGCATGCTGCTCGGCAGCGTTTTGTCTTTGTTTCCCTGGCTTGACAATGGTGGCGTGGGAATTTCCGCTGAACCCACACCACATGTGCACCTGTACAATCGCAAGCTTGCGTGGGACCATCGGGATCGATTCCGAAGTTTCTTGTTTTTCACCTTCCTCTGTCTGCATTCGAGTAATTGGAGCAGGCCTTCAGTCCACAACCAACGCTTGTAGCAGCATGCAAGGCAGCATTCCTTTCAAACAATATTGGGGGCCATTTCCAGAACCAATACTACTGTATCGTGCTTTGAGGATCTGCAGTAGATATCTCTACCCGAAGACTTGACATCTGACGAATATGTTTGTTGAGATAATCGCAAGTGAAAACTGCTCTTTCACGCGAAGGGGAGGGGGGGGGGGTACGGCGGAGTGCAAGTCAAATGACGCCTAGAAGACGTCAGTCCGAATGGGGCTGGAAGTAAGTGTCTCGTGGTCATTCTGAGGATAGGGTGCCGCCACGAATCGTTGCGAATCATTTGCATTAATCCCCCCTCACAAAATGCGGCCCACCAGCTTACGAAGGCTCACACACCTCGGTGGGGAACGGCTCGCCCTTGTCGACCTTGTCGAAGTACTTCTGGGCGTGGGTCCTGACCTGCAGAATGGTGCGAGTGGGCAGCATGGACGCAACGGCCTCCAAGTCGCTGCGCTTGAACAACTCCACGCCTCGAAGAAACACCGCGTGCTCCTCGTGGGTCCACCGGCCCTTGTTTCGCCGGATCCTATTAAATATTTGCCAGGGGCGGCGGCGTCGTGAGTTGGAGGGCTGGAACTGTCCGCATCGTCCAACCAGCCGGCGTTATGTATGCGTATTTCATTCTGTTGTCAAATTTCGGGAAGAACACCGAATTTTGTGTGCGTTCAAAATTGGGTTCTTATCGTAGTCCCTCGTGGCTATTTTAGGCTACAACATGGCCGCTTTGATAGAGTACTGCCGTGATGCTGGTTAACCAGACTCACAAATGGTGCTCAAGTTCTCATGTTTGACACAACAATCTTGGCTGCCAAGGTAATAACGAAGTGTGGGGACTAAGGCATCGACGGAGAAATCAAAGAAAGACAGCATCCTCGACGACAAATACTGAGGAAAGGCAACAGCACCGACTAAATATAATGTACAACAGCGGCTGCAGTGCGGGGGCCGGTTAAGCGACCCCCTATTTGGCGGCACATGCCCTACGGAAGCGACCATGAAATGGCGTCGCTCCACTGTGCACCCTGCCCAATAGCCGCTAACCGGTAATAAGCTAGGGAGGGCTGTTGACGACTTGGTCGAAGGCAATGGTCGACATGAATTTTCCAGAGGAACATTCCAGGCTTCACCACCAGAGTTGGAGTATACAGCCCACACTCTGGTGTGTGTGTGTGTGTGTGTGGAGGACGGAGGAGGTGGAAACATTTACCCCGATGGGTAAACCGCTTCCTTTCGAAACTACTGCGTTTTTTTGCACGGCTCAAAGCTAGGATATATCGCTATCCCTAACCCCAACCCAACCGACCCGACCCAAACCTATGGCATTGGAACGTGCTAGGTCACTGCTGTACCAAGCGAGCCTAGGTTGCCGCGGTGCTACAGGTTTCTGCACCGTTTGCGTTCTAGATTGCTGCTGTCCCGTAAGCTAAGAGCGGCGCAGGAGGGGTAAGGGCTAGGTTGCTGTGCACCGTCAGGGCTAGGTTGTGTACGGTGTCAGGGCTAGGCTGTCGTGCACCGCGAACGCTAGGTTGCTGTACGGTGAAAAGCTGGGTTGCCGTGCAGGGCTGCACCTACCCAAGGAATGTTCCAAGAAATGGTATCCCGACATGGAGACCACTGCTTTCGACAAAGTCGTCACCACCACTGGAAACAGGGGGCGAAAAACCGGGCCCTCCACTGCTGTACGCAGAAATGGAAAGTAGTAGCATAGTTTCCCGTATTTCCCGTTATGCCAACCATTCCTCCACTGCAGCGTCGTACGCACAAACGGACAAATGCAAGTTTCCCGGCGTTCTCCTTCTGTTGTTGTTGTCTTCACATTAAAAACTGTTCCGATCTCTCACTACCCAGTACCTTCATATGTGTCCGTACTGATACAACACTCACTAACACTTGACCTATTTTTGGTTTGCTTCCCAGCGGCGTCGCATGTGCCGGGTTTTGAGACCACGGCCTCCCCATTTTTTGTGGACTATATATAGAGCTAATGTGAGAAACAACAACAACAACAAACTTGACATGGTCGATTCCCGTGGTCACAGGCTACACCGGTCGCCCCGGTGGTCTCGTGGGTAGCCTCGCAGCCTGCTAAGGGCCAGGTCATGGGTTCGAGTCCCGGAAGAGTGAGTCTTTTCTCACAAATAAATCCTGGTCTAGGATGAAAGCGACGCGCTGCAAAGCTCGCTTGTTAGTATAACGGAATTCGTAAGTCGCGAGGGAAGGGATTGCTGTACCCTTGTCGCGATAAAAATACCTCAGGCAGGCAGGAACCGCAGGAGGGGGTCCAGCCCCCCCCTCCTGTGTGACCCCGGTTGGGTCGTCTAGCTGGTAGAAGTGGAGGATAGGGGCCAGAGGGGCAGACGACAGAGTCCGATGATGGGAGAAAAACAAACAGAACAAAACAAAAAAGGCTATCTTACCCTAAAAAGGTACAGTCAAATAAACTGGCCCCAAGGGGTCCGCAAGTCAATAGAAATCAACGACAGATACACTCTTCTCCCTTCTTCCCCTCGCTCCTCGACAAGCTTTTGCTTAGACATGGGTTGTAGTGAAGGGGGGGGTCTTTCTGGCGAGCAGGGCTAGACTCACCCTCAAGGGATGACCGAAACCTTCTTGCTGCTGCGCATATCCGCCGCGAGGCATGCGCGTGGTGGTGTAGTTGGGTCGGCACTGATGGGGTCAG